TTCCTTGGGCGAACGCCACATTCGGGGTATATGTGATTTACATAGTGATCTGCGTCACGTTACACTATGATCATGCATCAGGTGACTGGCGAATCACCAATTAAGGTTTCAAAAAGAAAGTCTTTTTGATTGAGTAACTTATAATGAAATAGGTCAGAAGAAGCGAAAGTAGCCAGAACAATCATGTGAATCTCTGACAAAGCCAAAATAGCGGCACATTAAATATCAAAAGAAAAATTCTCATAGTTAGGCTCATTCATATTAGTTTAAGATATTACCTAATGTCTTTTAATAGTATAAAAGAGAGGAAAAGAAAATAGATCAAAGGTATGTAAAAGAGCAAGAAAAAATATGTTGAGTGATTTTTATTTAACTAACTACGCCACAATACTATTGATTCAGCAATTGCATTATATTATAGACCCGTGTGCGCTATTGTAATTATGACATTCTGTGGTGCAAGTAAAAAATTTGTAGCACAATAACGATCTGTGTTTGTATACTACATTCCATGGTACAAGTAAAAAATTTATAGCACAATAACGATCTGTGTTTGTATACGGGTGTAAATTTATAAATTTCTTTTTAATAAATTTATTTTAAAATATAAGGGTTGCTTATTTTTAGAGGTTGCTTATTTTCAGACATATACAGTAGTCTAAGAATCTCTAAAACTTTAAAAGGTAGTTGTGTATCAAATAACAACATAGCTAATAATTGGTGCAAAATTTGTACTATAGAATTAAAAGAAATTTTCTAATTGAAAATCTTTTATCAAAAGAAAATGATTTATATTATACAAATTTGAAAAATTACTAACTTATAAGCATAGCTATCTTTTCTACTTATAAGTTTAATAGATATAATTTTTAAATATATGCATAAGTATAAGAATTTAAAATTGTCTTACACTATTCTTTTTATATTTCACACTATACTATCTACTTTATATATTATTCTATTACAAGTACTAATTAGAGATAGTAAAAATCCGGATATATAAATACAAATATATGTATTACTATAATACAAATATATTACTCTGGTAGATTTACATTAAAAATAATAGTCTAAACTTAATACAATATATAATATAGAAAATTTCAATACAAAATTGTTAATAACTAGGGTTAAAAGACATAACCCCATCTTAAAAACAAAAAAAATGATAGAAAAATTTAAATCAAGATTTTTGAATACTTAATATTATATATATTATACAGTAATTATTTAAAATTTTTACTTTAAATAAATTAAATTGAACATCTTGCTTAGATTGGTTAACATTTTATTTCTGATTAGTAGAATAAATGGAAATTTCAATCCAAACTGCCTGAATAACGATAAATCGAAATTTCTATCGAAATTTCTACGTATCTAAATCAATTGAAATTTTAATTTTAAACCCAAATAATATTTCCGTGTTCCTGTCCAATAGCAAATTGGCGAAACGTCTTCAATCATATGAATTTCAATTATATGTAATCTTGTGTGTCAGCACATCATATTCATCATGCAACTTAATCACGATTAATTGATTCTTCAAATGAGTGTTGTCAAAGAGAAAATGGGACTTCGGGCTTCCAATTATAAACATACCGGATAAAACCCCTGAAAATTTTGATTAGCGTTTTGTAACGATAAAATGTTTAATTGAAGTTCAATTGCGTATATCACTGATCAAATTTTTTTAAAGGGTTTGTCCGGTACGTTATATAATTGGAAGCTTGAAGTCCCATTTTTCCTTGGCAGCACTCAAATGATGATAATTATTTAAATGAATAATTAATCAAAATAAAGATTATTAATCGATGCTGAATCGATTAATATTATAGATATGATTCCAAACTCTACTAAAAAAACAGATTTTCAGAATTCTACGCGGCCTTTGATGCAGCGAAAATCAGAGCATCATCTACGTGAAATCAACAGGCACAATTTTTATGCTTATTATATTAATATTCTTATTTATAAAAGAAAAATATACTTAATTATTTGTCAGCAGGTTGAAAACGGCGATCAATTCCCGAAAAGTAGTCTTAAAACAAAAGCAACAGGCTTTAAAAAAAAGCAAACTATTCAAAGAAAGTTTATTGTATGCAATTTAATAAAATTTCTCATTGTGTAATTATTACTTTAAATGTTAATGAAGCATTTTATGCTTTTTAGGCAAGCTCATGAAAATATCACATCAAACTTAACTAGTTTATTTGGATCAATACGTTCTATTTATCATTCATCGAAATATATATTTGATGATGATCAAGCAGTTACTAAAGTTAAAGATGAAGGTATGTACTGATATAAGCATGTGCTATTTAATAAACTTATTTCCGATATTTATCACAGCGCAGAAATGTGAGCAGACCATTGAAGATCTTTTTAAACAGTTGGAATACATATCGCAATTACATAGTGGAATGAAATTCAATCAAGGTATTTTCTACCTTTTCATTTCTATGACCATATATATACGTATATACATTGCGATTGTAATTTATTTCCGTATTTAGACGCTATTGAAAATAAAGGTGATCTTATGTGCATAGATATCAGGTGAAAGCTTTTTAATATAATTATTATGTATCTCAATATCCTGTTATTTATTTCAATTATATGGAAATGATTGGTCTCGGCTTTAACACAGCAATTCGGACGAAGATGCAGATGCAAACCTTAACTTAAGCATGGAAACTATATTATCACAATACCATCATACAGAATCTCTTATCGATGGATTATTGAGGGATCTAGAAAGAACAGAAAGGTGAAGGTCCTCCGTAATGTGTACAATTTCAAGGATTCTAAGATTGGCATTTACATTTTTTTATGTTATATAGCTATATAGATGAAATGATTTTATGGAAAGTATCTTGCTCACATTAGAGTCTATAGTAAACCGGGTCACCTGTGCCAAAACGGTTCAACCGGGTCAAAAGTTTTCAACTCGGTCAAAACGGTTGAAAATGTAACCTCTAAAAATCTATTATTATTACACAGAAAACATATCAAATTTAACTCATTATTATTGTATTGTGAATAAACATCCTTTTTTTCAAAGCCAGTTGATTAAGTTGATTAATAATAAATTTGTCACGTGAGGCATATAAATTACTATATACCTGGCTTTAGACGACGGACTATTGCGAAAATTTTGTCAAAAATTTTCCTTTGTATAAACCTTCATTATTATTTTCTTTGCTTGGTTAATATGTAATATACTGTGTTCTATTAGGGTGACTTTTTAATAGCAAACCGGTGGCAGAAAAATAACTACCCCAGTATCGGCACCAAAATTTTACACACAACTGAAATTTGTGCCAGGTTTGTGGCGCAGCAAAACCTTTAAAGTTCGTTAATGTTAGGGTTAGCGTTTCTAATAAGGTTAAAAGTTACGCAATTATATAGTAAAACCGCTCAAGAAAAACTTTTTGTTAGAGCATTAAAGCTGGTTTCTTATGCAGATTTTCGAGAAATAAGCGATTTTTGACAAACGAACGTTTGTTTTGAACTTTCCTGATCGTGTTACATTACACCTAATCTTGAAATCTGATTTGTAGTTCAGTCTGCCGATATTCCAAATTTGGGGTCGCTTAAAGCCAGGTCCATCACGAAATCATCCGTTATGCACGACCAATCAAAAGCAAAAATGTCAAGACGATTTTACATATAGAAACCTCTTAATATTAGCCCTAAACTTTAACGTTAATTTAAATTCATATAATGGGCCCGTTTCCCAAATTTGGTCAATAATCATATTTTGAAAATGATCTACGTGCTATATAAGTTATCTTCTTAATATTTATATAAACTACTAACTATTACTGTATCAAAAATGTAACCCTAACTGCATCAAAAAAGTAATTCCAACACACCTTGCTTTAAATAACCTTTATTGTCCGAAGCATAGTGACGAACTTTTAGTTTTTACACATGGTGATATAAAAATTACATTTTTGATGCATGTGGTCTCAAAATAGTTATCTTTTTGATGTAGTTATATAAACATTATGAAGATTGCATCAGAAATGTAATTTGAAAATTTTTTGTCCATCTGCACATGTGTTCAAATTTGTAATTTAGTACAACAAAAATATGCATGCTTATGCATTTGTGTTATATGATAATCATCATATACTCTAAACACACAATGCTACACATTGGCCTAGTTTAGTAATGATTATTGATTAGATTATTCTAGTTCATGATAATTAGCCAATTAATTTAATAGACAATACATCTGTCATCTGGAGAGGATCTGCAAATTTTTATAAGTAAATTTTACTATTGAGTTAAATGTGAAGTGTTCCAATCTAAAATATTTTTTCTTACTAAATATTGACAATTTTTGAAATAAACTATTTGTTTTTTAATTTTAACATTACATACTGATCATTCATATAGTATTTATATAATTGGCTAAATACCAGTTTTCAAACTAGTTTGGGGTATATAGATACACACTTGATATAAGTTCTAGTACTTCTAATAAAAGAGTAATAGACAGGACTGCCGAATTAAAAAAAAAAAATAACTAAACAAAAATTAAAACCAAATAAATTTACTTGTGTATAAATCAAAAATATCAATACAAAAACAATAATTTCACTATAAAAATTCAA